TGTGAACTTCGGTCAGATGTAAATCAGGTTTTTAATATTTGCTCATGTGGACTACACAGATTAACCAAGTAAGAGTGACTGAAAAGGCTTCCCTGAGAGAATGTAAAGCTTTGAATAAACAGCAGAAGAATTTTAAAAGGTTTGAAAAACTCAACTCGATCCTGCCTAATTTGAAGGTAAAGTGATGAGAATGGAGCTGGCTGGAATTTAAAGACTTTCTAAACTATGGGAAAGATTTCAAAGCACATATCGATGAATATGCTTTTGGGTTTTTTTTTTCAGAAGAGCAATGACAAGAATGCAACCCAGTTTTAGCATTACAGTAACAAAAAAAAAAGGAAAATTATTACTTATAATTTAGGTTTCTGTGTTTTAGGTTTCTGTGAAGTGTTTTATACTTTGATTTCCCTATGTTTAGGACACTTCCCTAGGTTGAGCCCTTCAGCAGAGCAGGGAGTTATAATATTATGGATAATGGAAATGTACAGGTAATCTGGGTTAAAATCTCCTCAAAGGATGAAAATGAACCTATTTAGCTTATAGGAAGAAGAGGAGAAGCCATCATTGTCATTTGTGATTCTAGCCTGTTCTCCAAGAATATACTTCCGGCTAATCTATTCAACATGCAAATTAATAAATCTGGGTTTATCAGAAATGTGTTTAAGCAAATGCCATGCCAACTGCTGCACTTTTCATTCCTGATTTTCTTTATCTGAAAGAAAACTTAAGTAAGAGTAATATCATACTTTACATTTAGAAAATAGACTGATTCTCAGAGGAACTGAATTTCCCATATTTTATAAATAGTATATGGCATGAAGTGGTTTACAGACTTAATTCAACTGTACATGTGAATGAAGTTATTCAACATGCACAAGCATTTGCAGAGCACGACCTGAATATCCTGATGCTGCAGTGATCTTGCTATGGCAAGATCAGCAAGATCTTGCTATCAGGGAAAAGAGAGGCTCACATTCACTTTTTGAATTAATATTGTGTTTCTGCATGTTTATGTGACACATACCCAAGAAGCCTTAGTCTTGATCACCTCTGTTTGGCCTGGGAATTCAAGCAATCATAATAGATCTGTTTCACATCATTTTATCAAGATTTTCATACAGTTTATAGATAGCAGACAATCCATCCACAAATACATACTGGAAAAAAAGGACTCACTGTGTATATCGTAAAAGGGTTAATTTTCCAATATATTTTATTTTCTTTGCTACTATTTCCCACAATTAAAACTTCAGTGAGATGCTGGGGAATTCTTACTCTAGAAAGGCAGGCTTGCCCTTATTTATATGGGTTCTGTGGGAAAATAGAAGGCATAATTCTAGGGATACTTTAGTCATTTGAGATGCAGGGTAGACAATACGGTATTTAGCTGCTCTCTCACACACACATCCCTTACTCATACGCAGTAAGACGATTTATTCCCCCAGCTTCAGCCCTCCAGCCCTTACTTACTGTAACACATTCCCATCTCTTTCAAGTGTATCACATTGAGCTTACAAGCGAGAAAGCTTATCTCCACAGAGCTGCACATGCAAAAGAATTAATTTATTCTGCATATTTTGAAAGTTGCTTCTGCGGCAATTACAGTATGCAAAGCTCTCATTAGAAAATTAGCAAGAAGGAAGTAAGTCAATGGGTTGCTACAGAAATGTCTTTTTAAAAAAATATACATAGTTTTAGGAGAGATTCCCATTATAGAATTGAATAGGTTAATTTTTAAAATCCTAAATAATAACTATAAAAGTAAAAATAATACTTTGCAGTAAGTTCTGTGGGTTTTCATAGCATTTATTTATACAGAATCTCATTAAATTCATCTTCAACAACTTCTGTGGGACATTTTCATCAGCATGCTTGCTTACCCTGCCTAATTCCACTCTTCAAGATGCAAAAGAAAAGTTAATTGAAGTGGATTATGCTGCTATACAGGCTATCTCTATAAGAAGGTTTAAATGACCACTGTCTCCTAATGAAATAGGCAGAAAGCAGTTCAGTGAGGGGTGATTCAGCAGTTCATAAGGGATAATATATTGAAAAATGGCTTTTACTTTATTGGCAATACATGATTCCCCTCCAGGAGGTCCTCTCCAGGCAGTACTGGTAATGCCTGTGTTGTTCTGGTATTAATTTCGAAACAAACAGTGACTTGGGCTGGAAAAAACAAACAGACAAACAATTTGATCAGAACTGGAAAAAGGCTCAGAGCAGACAAGGACAAACAGACGAACATGGAGCTAAAAGCAACAGCTTGGCTCAATCTATTGCCTGGCTAAAAAATCTGTGCACTAATAGAAGTGCTGACAAGGGAAGTACAACAAACCTCAATTTGCACTGGATGGCCGATTCTGTTTTAAAACTCACGATACCTGTATTACACTTGTATTTTTATTACTTGCGTATACTTGTATTACAGATATGCACTTGTAATAAATTAAAAGAGATCAATGACAGCCTAAGTTTGTGATGATTTGTTTGTTTGTCCTAACAAGGAAAAATCCTGCCTCGGGGTTTCAAATTCTTCTTGGTCGTGCAAGTATAACTCCAATTAAACAGACATAGAAACAGTCTTGGTATTTGTTTTCACATGGAATTCAAGCCAATATGATACAACAGTCCAAATCATGACTGTGTTAGACTAACATTAATACTTCAATTTAAGTTACTTTATCAGTTTAGTGTTCGCTTATCCATGAAACCACTTAAATAATTCTTCTAAACTATTTTATCCAATTAGTAAAAGTTTCCTGTTTTGACACTATCCCTAAAGGCAAGATATATATTTTATTTTTTAAAAAAAGCAGATAATCAATTATTGATATCTAAAATTTAAATTTCTGACTCTTTGTTAATCCTATCAGTAAGAGGGAAACACCATCCAGTGTAGTTCTATTTAATGGCACTGCACTAATGCATTTTAACCTGACATCCAGGCTCAAGACAGATCTTAAAACTGAGTGGCTGCTCAGTTTTATAATGCCATAAATCCTTGTTCTTCGGCTTTCTGCAGTCATGTTAACTCAGCTCACAGTGTCACCGGGGCAGATCACATTTACTGGCCTTCAAGGAGCCCTGCCTAGAGCAAAGCAAGGAGCAAAAGACGGAGCGAGGAGGTTGGGAAACTTCTTTTTATAGCGAACGAGTACTTGTTCCTCCAGTTGCTATTATTAAAACAAAACAAAACAATCTGACTTCTTGCTTTTGTTATCTATGTAGGATCTAGAAGGATGTATATATAACTCCTTTGGCATCTGGCCCATTTCAAGACAAGCTTGGGACACAGATGAGACCCGGTCTCCTTCGTGCCTGCATCTGGTTTCCACGTGCATAGACTCATGCAGCTTCAACTTGGAAAACAGATGACCCTGGTAGAGGGACAGAACGGCAGGCAGATAGGACAGGATGGATCCCTTGGAACAGGACATAACCCTTGGTGCAAATTTGAGGCAGAGGTGCCATTTTTCTAACTCAACTCGAGGAGAAACTCAGCAGTGGCAAGCAGTGAGGAAATTACAGGCGTTGCTAATATCTAATACAACAAGGTGCAGCACCAAGAGGAATTAAATCAGTTATATCGCCACTGATGTGACGCCACAGCTCCAAGGAAACCTTCGTTTCCAAAGCACGCGGCCACACCAACACCCTCCCCGCACTATCCGG